GCAGCGTCCCGCGCGGTCCCTGACCAGGTGCAGGGTAGGTGTAGGGGTTACCTAAAGCTTTAGGCGTGCTACCTTTATTGGCCGTAACAAAAAATAGTTAGAACACGGAGAGGCCGTGCTGAACGTATTTTCCTGAAGGAACCGCTGGCACGTGAGAACATACAATAAGAATCTTGTACGGTACCTCCGTAAGTTGTCTCTGCGAGTTATTTTTTCTTCTTTAACATCGGTGTCAAGCTACGCATTTATGTTATTTCAGGAGCTTTCTCTGGTTGGAGCTTGTCTTTATGATACAGAAGTTCATCGTACGTGACACACAAAACTGCTGTAGCTGAGACTGAGGAGCAAAGCTCCTACTCGGAGCACAGAACTCTAGCTACTTCAGCGATTCTTTGACTCTATATTGCGTTGTTTCAGTTGTTGTCGTACTGTCTCCCGCAGAACAGCATCTGGTCTAAGATCTCTGGCAAGGTTTGCGATACCTTACATGACATGCCCCATGGTTTCTTGAAAAATGCTTTCTCCACATCTGTAGCGATACTGCCTTTCAGCATAGTATGCCACCGGCCAGTAGAACTGTTTCCTGTGGTAGGAAGCCTATGTCTAAGGGAGAATAGACTGTAACTAGAGCTGCACCGGGATTAAGGGTGATTGTTGTCAGACTTGCTTCTTCAGGCTTCTTGCAGTGGCTCTCATGGTTACCACTTATCATGCTCTGATATATTCAAAAAAGACTTTGTGCAGATCTGTGATGGCTTTCAGTCACAGGGAGAGCAAGGGTTATTCCTGCACTTTTGCGTAGCGTATCTTCAGTGAGCACAGTGCTGAACGCAACTTAAATCACAGGGAACAGGACAGAAGCATAAAGAGTTGAGGGTATCTGAGCTATATTGGTATGGAAGAGTTAACCTGAGGAAAAAGTTGGGGTTTTTTTTCTGGGTCTGCTCTGCTCTCTATGTTCATGGTCAAGTAGCAGGGGTTTTTTGTTGTTGTTTTGGTTTGGTTTTTTATGTAGTGGAAGACAGTTAACTTCAGGATTTTTTCTTTGATTCTTTAGCTCTGTCAACTTCCTTGGATATTGGGCTGAGTAACTGGAGCTTCCTATACGTCACTGTCTCCCTGTGAGTACAAACACCATCTTCCCTGGGAGCCCTGTGGTGGGGTTTACAAAGTGCTTTGTCAGGGTCAGTTTCTTATCTGGGTGTATGGCTTGGTGGGGTTGGCATGCAGGGCCTCTGATAGCTTGCTGCTAGCAATGTAGAAGTGGGTGATCTGGTTCCTAGTAGTACTTTGCTGGGAAGGAGTACGTTGGAGGAGACTGACAGCGCATTTTGGTCCTTACAGATACACGATGACCAAATCCTCTGCCATTATCTTCATCCTGCTTTTTTCACTGCTCTTCAAGCTGGAGGAAGTGGTAAGGGTCCCGTGCAATGCTTTAGGGAGGGAGAAGGTCAGGCCCAGGGAAATAGGCCTGAACGTACAAGAAACGTACAAGCAGAGGAAGAATGCAGTTATGTGGATGAATCTGAAGGCGAGGAGGTGTCTGTCTCTGTTCAGCTCCAGGAGTCTGTAGTGGCCTTGTGTTTGCTCTCATCTAGAGGGTGGCATTGCTGCTGGTGGTTCTGCTCATCGCTGGGGGCCTCTTCATGTTCACCTACAAGTCCACACAGTTCAACGCACAGGGGTTCATGCTGGTGCTGTGTGCCTCTTTCCTTGGGGGTATTCGCTGGACTCTCACGCAGATACTTATGCAGAAGGCTGAACTGGGTACGTAGGGTGTTAGGAAGCGGGTGGTGGTGGTGGTGGTAACGGGGAGGGGAATAAGGAGGTGGTAGCCCTTGCTGCAGAAACAAAGCATCTTGTGTAAGGGACAGTGTTTGAAACTTGGGGCAGGGGTTATCTGTTGATGGGTAACAAAGGTGGCTTGGCCTCTGCAGCAGCACAGGCGTGGGCATTACAAATAAGGTGTATGTCTAAGAATGGTATTAATAAAGGCTCTAGGAGCTATGTTATTCCCTGGCTTGTTGCTACCTGGTCTGTTATTGATTCTCCTCTTTCAGGGCTCCAGAACCCCATTGATATCATGTTTCACCTGCAGCCGCTCATGTTCCTGGGGCTCTTCCCGCTCTTTGCGGTGTTTGAGGGTGCGTGAGTTAATTAGAGAAAGCAGGGATAGCTTTATAGAGTGGTTGGGGAGATTGCTTAGCAGTTCTTTGTTTGAGATGCTTCGTTTAGATAAGTGAACAGCTATGAACTTTACAAAGTAGTTAGAGACCTGGAATTACAAGGACCCAGATACACCTTTTGCTGGCAGAACATTAAAGAGTGCGTAGGAATAGTAGCCTGCCACGCTTGTGGAAGTAAGGGCTGTGAAGAACTGGCTCCACATCCTCCTGATATTGGAATGTGAGCAGCCCACCCCCATCTTGTTGTGAGTGGGAGTTGGGAAAGGTACTCTGCTACTCACTGTCTTGTTCCTAGGCCTGCCTTTGTCCGTATCAGAGAAGCTCTTCCGTTTCCATGAAGCAGGAACGCTGTTCTCTCTGGTAGGGAAGCTGTTCTTGGGTGGAATTCTTGCCTTTGGTCTAGGCTTTTCTGAGTTCCTCTTGGTTTCCAGAACATCTAGCCTCACCCTTTCCATTGCTGGCATTTTTAAGGTAAGGCATGGTTCCTGTGCTAATACTAAAAGGCAAGTACTGAGTCATCCCTACTGGGCCTCATGTGGTGGGAACTTCCTTAGAAATCATCTCCTGTTATTGTCATTCTCCTTGCACAGGAGCTTGATGCTTTGCCTTGCAGTCTCTGCAGTGAAGTCCCTTGGCTCCTGACAGCAAGGGGCAGAGACTAATGGCTGTTTTGTAAGAAGTACCATTAAGGTCCAAAGTTTGGTGGGATTTGGGATAGACTAAAACACGTGGGCCTTGTGAGTGATGGATGGTGCGGGAGGGAGGAGGGGTGAGAAGGGCATGCTCTTGCATCAGACCTGGATATGAACAAACCTCTGGTTTGAGCTATCTCTTTAACCTAGTTTGGCACATTCTTCCCTCCTTTGAAGAATCCAGCACACATACTTTTGAGCTGAAATTTGTGAAATTTGTGAAAATGTGAAATTTGTCCGATCTGGAAGTCGCAGGTTTCCCATGTAGCCAAGTTACACAGTCAGAGGACTTAAAATCCCACATCCCGGTTTAACAGGTTGTTCTGTTTCTAGAAACTGTTTTTAGAACTCTGCACATGGAAGAATGTGCTGATGGAAACTAGCAGCTTGGCATCTTGACCTAGGCTTGAGCTGTAAAACGTCTCATGCATATCTCCTCAGATTCTGCCCTGCCATTTGTCATGTTTTTTGTTTCCACAGGAAATCTGCATTTTATTCCTCGCCACACATTTGCTGGGAGACCGCCTCAGTCTCTTGAACTGGCTGGGCTTTGCTGTCTGTCTGTCAGGAATCTCCCTACATGTCATTCTCAAAGCCATGAATTCTAAAGGTGATTCTGTTTTAAATCCCTTTCTGTTTCTCTGTAGGCATTCTCGTAGCATCGCTAGGAGCTGTGTCTAGTTCCAGCTCCTTGCAAACGCCAGGTTTGATGGGTACTCTAGCGAGTTTGTCACTAAATGGGCTGTCTGCATGCAGGTGAAAAAGCACTGAAGCTACACAAAGAGGCCAGCTCTGACCCTGACCTGGAGCTGCTGCTGCGCCACACTGAACATGGTGAGGAGGAGGAAGAGGATGTTGAAACCCCACAACAACACTGACTGAACATGAAGCACAAAGCCCCCTGCTCTATTCTTACCAAACCTGCATGACAGCTATCTAGGAGGAAGGTCCAAGAGTTTCTGTCTGTGACCACGCAGAGGGGAGCCAGGGCCTGGTGAGAGAGTCCTGCTGTTCTTCTGCAGTGTGGATCTGTAGATGCTGCACAAGAAACAGGCAATATCCCCTTCACAGAGAGTGAACTTGGAAGACGAGCCCTGGTTCAGCGGAAGTAGAACGGCGTGGTGAGACTGGGAAATGCTATGGAAAGCTTATTAGGGAATCCTGAAGGCTGTATATTCAGAGTGTAAACCATGAGCTGTAGAATGAGCACGGACGTGTCTGGACTGCAGGCTGAGTGGCTCAGGGATGATTTTAGTGTTGTTTAGGCTTTGACTTCAAAAGAGAAGATGGATATACCTTCCCATACTTTATGGTTCTGCTAAGTAGGAACTCCCATCTTGGTGGGAGCAGATGACTATATATAAATCTGTAGACTTGTCCCATTAAGAAGGAGCCTTTGTGCTTGGTGACCTCCATGTTCTGTGTGCACAGTGAGGAGAGAATTAAATGCTGGTATTTGGGACCAATTAAACATAGCCAAATGATGTTGGTTGGAGGAATGACAGAGATGCATGAGTACTTCTGGCCCTAAAAGCCAAGGGGAGAGAGCAGTATCACAGGAGATCTAGCTTGAGCAATAAGTTCATCAGAAAGTATGTGGGTATTTGAGGGGGGGATTTTTTGTTTTTTAAATAAACTGTTTTTCTGATTCCCTTTTGTCTGCACATTATGCACCTATGCTTCATCAAGCAGAGGTCATTTGTCTTCTGAACTCCCTTCCTTTTAGACCCACACTGACCTTGCTACTGCATGCCCAATTATTTTTGAGGGATCTTTGGGACTAAGGGAATCTTCCTGCGACCTGGCTTGTGCCAGCCAAGAGAGCATACTGTCTTGTCTGCCTTCATGCGTGAACAAGACACCATATCCTAAGAAGACTTATAGTATTATGGCTTTTCGTAGGAATCTTATCTCTTTGCCCCATTGGATTGGATCAGTTAGTGCTGCAGCCTTGTCCGGGAAAGGGGGATGGTGCGGGATTTAAGATGTGTCTTTTTCCTTTCTGCTAAGTCACAAGTGGTGTTGGGCAGGTGGCTGGTTTTTTGCGTGGCTGAATTTTCACCTCTTTGAAAGTTCTGTTCAGTGCTAGTTTTTGGAGCGGAAATAACTTGAGAGAGCTTTCCAAAGGGATAAATAACAGTGTGATCTTTCTCCTGAGAGGAGCTGGGTGTGAAAGTTAACTTCTCATATTCTGTTTGAGAACCTGAACCGTTTTGACTAGACTGGCCCTCTGTTGATCTTGCTTCATAGTTTTCAGATGTGAAGTCTTTCTTGATGACTTTAATCAAGAGCATGTCCTGCAAAAAAACTGAATCATAGAATACCAGGTTGGAAGGGACCTCAAGGATCATCGGGTCCAACCTTTCTTGGCAAAAGCACGGTCTAGACAAGATAGCCCAGCACCCTGTCCAGCTGAATCTTAAAAGTGTCCAGTGTTGGGGAATCCACCACTTCCCTGGAGAGATTATGCCAACTGGTTCTGAAGAAGAAAACTTTTGTTAATAATGATTGTCTTTAATGATGTTCTAATAGACAGTGGTAACTTGCTTCACAGCAGACAGCAGGTGGTGCAACTACCTCACATAAAGCTACTAAACCAGCAGTTCCAGGCCAGGCTGGCACAGCAAGGGATCTTGTGCATCAAGTAGGATGCCTGGAGCTGAGAATGGCTTGGTCTGTCCCTAGCTGGATTTTCCAATAGCTGGGACTTGTGATGCTTCCAGCAGGATTCAACCTGTTTACCCTGCTCATAAGTGTAAGCCCCAAGCACTAAATACTCCGTACCTGATGTGGGGCAGTGATGCTTTCTGCACGTGATCTGTGTTTAGCAATACCACAGTTGCTCTTTGTATTTCACTTTCCACTGACCTTGAACTGGACCTTGGGCATCCTTCTACTGTGTAACTCTCAGACTGGGATTTCAGGTCTCTGTAAATCCAAGGTAAAGGCGACTTTGTTCACAGGCCAGGATTTGCACCACATACAGTGCTTGAAGATTAAATTTGATTGTGCAAGTGCAAGCGCTTGTGAACTGTAGAACCCTGTAGTCTGTTGCTTCCAGTCTCGTTTCCTCTTTAACATAGAGGGGATGCCCTAGAACCTTAGTGTCCACACTTAGTACTTCTGATCTAGATGCAACTTTTTGGCGACAAATACGACACTGTCATTCACTTCCAGTGAAGTGTGCTCCAAACAGCTTTTGGGACAAGCGGTTAGTTCTGCACCCTTCCCTGGAAAGTTGCCAGCTGCTTGCTTCCAGTGAGGCTAGGTAGGTGTTCAGTAAAATTTTGTTCTTATCAGAGATAAAGATAAGAGAAACCTGGAAATAAGAACGTAAAAGTGTCTACTGCTTCACGATTTTGCCACAGCATATGGTACAGGTAGTCAGTACAGTTTGCTTGTGAGACTGACTGGACATCATTCACCTGTCTTTGAAAGAATCCTATTCTAGTTCGTTCTAGGATCCACATAGGAATGGCAGAGGATCTCTGTCCCATTTCTGCCCATGAATTTAAAAAACCCTTATGCAGAGCTTGATGATAGTTAATACTTAATTTCTCTGTGAGATTCAGTGGAGGAAGAAGTTTTCCCCCAGCCTCATAAATCCAGGTAGGGACCTTGTAGTGCAAGGAGGTTCATGGTAGGGCATATTCTGTAGGTGCTTCTGTGAGCAGCACACAGCAAGGAGGCCCTAATCCAGCTCGTGCTGAAGTACTTCTGCTGCTTTTCTGGGTCTGCAGTGCTAGGATGGAAAGGTTTTTCACTCAGTGGCAGGTTGGGACTTGCTGAAGGTGGTCCTGCAAGGATTCCCGCCTGGGACTCTAATTCACAAGGTCCTCTGCTTCTGGGAAAACATTGCTGTTTTGCAGTCTTAATATGACTTTTCCCTGTGCAGTTCTCTCTGCAGGATCCTCACTGGGGTAGAGTTGACTGTGCTTGTGTGCAGAACACATTTTTGCCACTCCTCTCTCCCTTCATCCCTCCAACAGCTTCTTTTAGGAGTAGTGCAGGAATGCAGTTGCTTCTTGGCTCCCAGTAAGCACCCAGTAGCTCCTTGTGGGGACCTGTTACTTAAAATGTCTTCTCTGGCAGGACTGCTGGCAGCAGCAGCGCTGTCACCAGTCTGAAGGCTTTACCTGGGACTCTGCCTTTATCCCCAAAATTCAATCAGAAGATCAGGACTAGAGCAGACCCAGTGTCAAACAAATCGAATGTTAATCAGACTGTGTGTAAATGTGGTTCTTTCTGACCAAGCACCTACTGTGTCCTGGACCCAAGAAATGACATGGCTGAACAGCTAGCTGTGTCCGCAGTATGGAGCTTAAGAGCTTGCAGAGGGTTGCCTTTGCACTTATAGTCAGGATTTTAAATTACGACGTGCTTTAAAATAATGAAAATATAAAACCATTTTGTTCATTTTTGTTTTATTTCTGAGGATTGGTTTCTGCATTCTTTTCATAAAAAGACAGGAGAGAGAACATACACTGACAGTCTGATGATTTAAGGAAAAAATAGCAACTAGATCTCTGTATTTATGGATGTTTTAGTTTTTCTGGGGTATGTTTGTAAATTAATGGTGTTGGGTACCACGTTAATTGCTAGATGTAGGTGATGAGTTCAATAGCAGATGTTCAGGAAGAAGAATGTAGAAAGGATAGATAGTAGTCTGCATCAGACATCTCATGATAAACTTCTCAGGCTGTAAGGGATAGCATATGAGGAACTAGCAGTGAAGAGCTGTGCCTGCAAAACTGCCCAAGATATAGCACTTAGAATCAGCATATCCAAAGGATGTTTAGACTCTAAATAACTGTTCCATTTGGAAAATCTGGCGACAGATATCCTGATGGGGAACCTGAAGAAGTTACACTTTCCTACATACCTGTGGGAGACTACCTTAATGTGTGCCTGGCTTTTCTACTGCTTTGAAAGTCCTTTTTTGTCTGTTTTATGCTAGAACTACTCCTACCATTCAGATGAAATGGTACATTGATTTAATAACATCATTTGGGATAGCATGTTCCCTGCTGGCCAAAGCTCCAGAATATTAGAATCACAAGATCTAGATTCAGTCAGGCTTGCTAGAATAAGGTGGGAAGGGGTGGCTGTTTCACAGCATCTTCAGGACTTATTTGAGACATGGAAAAATTTGCTTGATAACTCATCAGAGAGAGAAGGCACAAGCCCCTCAGTGGGCATAATTGGAAAATGCAATTTCTTCTTAAGCCCTGATAGCTTTGGGAATCTTCTAGTGCTAGGTGTCTTCAAGTCACCTTGCATATGATTTAGCCACTGAATCTCTGTTCCTTTAGCTTCTACTTAAACAGCTAGATCAAGAATTGCATGACAAGCAGAGGTTCGTCTGTGTACTAGTCTTGAGTTAGATCTCTGTGAGGTGAAGGCTCATGGGTCGGCCCCAGCACGCTGCAAAGAGGTGAGAATAGACACTGTTCACCCTTCAGCACCTCATTCCACAAGTGACCAAAGCAGTGACGCTAACAAAACCAGGTGCCTAGCAGGAATGCCCAGCTATGCATTAAAGACATGGTCCTGCCCTTTGGTTGAAGAGAGTATCTTCCTGGGAGTCCTGTCGGGAACTGTGCAGCTTGACCAATTTTGAGGGTCTACTGAGGCGCCTCTGCTGCAGCTGGGGGTTCTTTTAACATCTGTGCGTCAGCATGTTTTCCTGAGCAACAGTCCTGGATCTAAATTGCTTTCTCTAGCCTGGAGCGTTCCTAAAAGTGTGCACCTACCCTTCATGGTCATGCGCTCCCAGCCATGTGTGTGGGGGTAGCTGTAGATCTGTAATTTAAGAATGGAAATGCAGCTCCTTCACTGGAGTTTCAAAGCTCCAGCATAGAAGTTTGCTTTTAAAAACAGTGTAGTGTTGGGTGTAAATGTCATTGCTGCAGGTGCTTGACTGGGGTTACCAAACAATAAGCAGCGAGCAGCTCTGCTTAA